AGGTTGTTGAAGTTTAAGATCCAAAATTGTCTCAACCTTCTCCAAAACGTCTTTCCAATAAGACTTGATCTTTATGCAGGACCAGAAAATATTACAGTGATTTGCTTCTTCATCCCCGCATCCTCTCCAGCATTTAGAAGCATTCGGGTTTCCATGAAACCGCTGCTTCGGTGTCCTAAAAAAACGCAGCAAATTTTTCCAACTCAACTCACGCCTAGTTTCTCTTATTTCATATATTAATTTATACTAGAAAATAAACTAGAAAAGTTTTCACTCAGCCTGGTTAACATGCAAGGCCACAAAATTCAATAAAAATCCAGATTTTTTTCTCAAGGTTTATTCATAATATGTTACTGTTTAACCAAAGTGTAATTTGACTCTTTCGACTTTCCATTATTGTAAGTAACGTTGCTCAGGCAGAACGGGGCTGATTACTCTGCAATAAGGGCTGTATGATGAACTTTTCTCTCTTTGCAAAGATAAAAATAAAAAAAGTAAATAAGCTCAACAATTACATTTCGGTTTATAAACTAAAAAAATTTAAGTGCTCGTATCAGCATTAATGCCTCCAACGTTATCTTGTACCAAAGAAAAAAACACTCTAAGAGTGTTTTTCAGGAATTTCTCATAGAAGCACTTTTGTTGTTTTTCTTAATATGTTCAAGCAAGTTGGCGTTTCTTGTTGACATAAATTATATCCATATTATTTTAATGTTACAAATGTAATAAAGTCTTGTCCTGGATTCCAATAACACTATTGGCTGGAAATTTTGATTTTCAAAGTATTTTGAGAGTGCCCTGTTATGTAAAACGAGTTTACATCGTCATAGATGAATAATGATAGTTCATTGGGTGGTTAAGTTCAAACCCCATCGACCCCCCCTTTCTCTGCAAATCTCATAATTCTAAACTTCCACCATAAAAAGGGTGAATCTAAACAAGCCCCGAGTTGACGTGAACTCGGGGATGTTGCCTTATTTGGTTCTTGCCTGTACTTTAGTCACGCCCCGAAATTTATATACAGACCAGTGAGTGAGTGCTTGTTGCTATGATGTCTTTCCTCAGCAGCTTCAATCGCTGTAAACCAACCAATCACAGCACAGCTCATCTAAATATTCATGATCATACCATAAAAGGAAGAAAACCTGTTGTTTCATTCTAGGGCTTTTAACCAAGTTTGCATTAGGGCTCATTGAACAGAAAATATGCCATTTTCAGCCCAAACAATGTTACACACCTTATTCAGAGACCTTAAGGACCAAATACCCTATAGAATCATTCTATGACCCCATTAAAGGAATAGTACACCCAAAACATTATTAGCCTTCATTTTCTACTCACCCCCATGC